GCAGGAAGCATTCACACTTGTTTGTATGATTCACTTTAACAAATGGATCGATTCTAGATTAGATTACACTTTATTGTCATTACAACGGTCAGAACAATGCAACAAAATTCAGTTTAGCATCTAACCAGAAGTGCAATAGTGTAAGTATCGGGTGATATTTACAACACAGATAAATATATATGTATACATGTGAGACTGTACAAAGCTGCTATTGCTAATACAGACAAAAAATACCACGTTCACCCCATGTACATTAATAGCAATTCTAGTTTACTTGGGGCAAAAAAGCTGTGTTTGTGATCATCTGTCCACTGGTGGCTGGGGTATACTAACATTGTGAAGAGACTTGTAAAAGAAAACTGAACAAATCAGTGCATAACATGCTTAAGATTGAAATAAAAAATGATGAAACATTCCCTCATCACTCAGGGGGGAGATTTCAGTGTTGCATCACAAGTTCCAGAGCAGTAGGAATGAGGAGCACACAGCAGTGACGTGAACATTATGTCTATATTAACATGAATATTGAGTCCATGCTAATACTTTAAACAAATACATGCTGAGGGACAGTGCAGTCTCTTTTTAGTAATAATAACTAATGCTGTCCAAAGATTCGTTTTTTTCTTTGCGATTAATCACATAAATGTCATAACTTGTGATTAATTGCAAATTTGTATCTATTCTTTATGTCCCTTGAATTATCATTTTAATCAACATGGAAAAGTGATTTTTTTTTTGTTATATTTCACACTTGATGCAAAATGTCACACAATTCAATGCTGTCAATAAACAAATGTATGTTGGTAACAGAAAAGACCCGTTCTTAGGGATCAAAAAGTGATACGAGGCGGATACAAAATAAAGTAGCAAAGTGCCAACAGTTTGTTCTTCGTTGCACTATCATATTTTTAGATTCATGTATCACAACAAATAAGCCAATTTGAAAGGGTTTGTTTTGAGTCTCGGTTTGAATGCTCTGGCCCCCGTTGTGGCCATTTTGACAAGTGTCCCCCGAGAGGAGAGCAGGAGATGAAGAGTGGAGAGAACAGGCCTTTTTTCACTTTTCTGAAAAAGCTGGTTTAATGATAATAGTAAATAAGTAATGTTTATTTATATAGCACATTTTACAGACCAAGGTCACCCAAAGCGCTTTACAATGTTCATAGTTAAAGCTACACTATCAGACTTTGGGATTTTGAAGCCGCGGACTCGCTGGCCTCTCTCTTTCTGCTCCTTCCCCGCACCCACGAAGCTATCGCCCCCACACACACCCACTGTTGTTGATGGAGCTAGTGTCTCCCAATATGGATAGATCCATGGATATGGACTTGCACGTGGATGGCGTGACCATAGAACGATAGAACCGGGAAGCGCGGGGGAACGGGACTTTCTTTTGGATGGCTGTTTCGCTAAGTAAGCAGAAACCGGTGACGAAGACAAGGAAGTTTCAGGTTAGCTCCACCGCTTATTGTGCTAACTCAGCTGTCTGTGCTAACGGACCTGTAGATTTCTCACGAAAGTGGGGGCCAGTGGTCCGCTGTGATTGGTCACAATCAGAGACTCGAAACACATTCTCTTCCTTGTTTCATCAAAACTCGATCTAAAATATACATTCTTCTGTTTAATGGAATGCACAAACACAGCAGCGTGCCATCTGGCACGCTGCTGTGTTTGTGCATTCCATTAAACAGAAGAATGAGAATAAATGTAGATATTCAAACGCAAATTGGAAAAAAAAGGGCAACTTTTGAGCAAATAATTGTATATTAATACAATGGCACCACAGTTTAACGTGCTACGGACATGTTTTACATATTTGATCAAATTATGCAGCAAAAATTAACAAGCAATGCAAACATTTCTCAAAAACTTTAGATTTAATACCAGTTGGAGCTCCATTTAATTATTTTAATTATATTAACAATTAATTTAATTAATGCTAATGCCACACGGACACTCTGGATTGCTGTTATTGTTTATTTCCGCGTTTTTGACCGTATGTTTTGGTGAATGGTGGGCAACTGATTTTTCCAGGCGTAAAGAGCAGTTTATTTTATGACACAGATCTTTTTACAGAAGCAATGCTGTTTGTGAACATTGTTTTAGCCCACCATAGAACTATTATTATCTATTTAATACATTTACGTTGCCCTCGAGAGCCTCGGACGCGACACCGATCCTCCTCATAATAAAGTAATCTAACGCTAAATAATGAAACTCTCAAGTTACCAGATATCAGCATACACAAGTTAGTACTGAGTAAATTACGTATGTCAACACATTATAAGATACGATACGCACCTGACACAAAGTGCTCCGAGCATATTCTTGCGTGTTTTGAGGGAGTTTCTTGCCTGTTTATCTTCGCAAGCCATAACCTCCTTGGTTGTTCTGACAAAAGCTTAGTCTTCTCACATTCATGAAGTCTAATGATGGGTATACTGTAAAATCCAAGTTTAACGGAACCTCCGGCACGATTTGAACATCCATTGACCCAGCAGGAGATGACCATTTTCAACTTTATCACGACATTAACACGTTTCAGCTTCTTTTTCTATTGTTTTGCCCACAGAATGCCAAGACAAATGGCGCCGGGTCGGCAAATCCCCGTATGTAGTGACGTCATGTGGGAACTATGTATATGTCACGCCAGAACAAATCTGCGCTACTTTTTCTTCAAAAGGACGTATATCCCAATGCACTACATGGACATGGATAGCATTTTCGTAATGAATACAAAAATAAAGTCAGTTAGTGCAGCTTTAAAATATTTTTCCATTCACTCCACACACGGTGATGACGGGAGCGAGACGCCAAACACACTGGCGCAGCAGCACAAAAAAATCACAGTATATTAATATGAGTAAAGATAAAATCCCTCAGTCGTATGCACAGCGAGTTACATTCAGACCTATTGTACATGTGTTTTGTGGTAGCGGAACCCGGAGCACCTGGAGGAAACCTACACAGCTACGAGAGAACCAGGTGGAATAGAACCCTGGACCTCCTTGCTGTGAAACACCAGCTCTAACCGCTGCGTGGCCCTATGATACAGTAAATGATTTTACTGTTTGACCGTGGCTTTGTTTTCATTCCTCTTTTATTGTGAAGCACTTTGGAAACTGTTTATGAAATATACTACATAAAACAAGTGAATTGGATTGGATAATGATGTGACAGAGGCCAAAACTACTAACTAAAGAACCAACATGTTTTGAGAGAAATAGTCACTAGTTGTCGTGCTTTGAAAAAATGTTATAGATGGATCGGTGCAGAAGCAGAATTATTCAAACTATTAGCCTCTGATTCTTTTTTATCGTGTCTTTGAAGAATTCTCCATGTTTTTTGGCCATGCGGTAGAGATGGCTGTTCCCATGGAGATGCTATTACTGCTACATTCCACAATATGGCTTAACAATTTCCTGTCCTGTCTTTCGTTCATTCATGAGATTCCAGATGTCAAATGTGGTGTGCTTCAAATCGAAGTCAAAACGGATACAGTTGGCGGCAACATTCTGCAGTAGGATGAGCTGAGTCTGTGTACTCAGAGAACGTGTAAATATTAGTAATTTCTTTTTATGCATGCCTTATTTTATCATTATTCTTGTAACTTGAACTGAGAGACAAAGCAATGTCTTAATCCTGTTACTCACAATGGCAGTTCTGATTCTGACAACACTGCAAAAAATTATAAGATATGAAGGAATAATTGCTTGAATTGACTGGTTTTTATCTCAATTTGAGGACATTCTGACTGTGTTAAAACAAGATTTGCCAATGGGACAAAGTTATTTAGTCTTTTTTCAAAAAGTGGTGCTTTATTTTCTCATTCCAAGGGAGACATGTTTGTACCTTTTTAAATCAAGCTCATTTTGCCTGTTGCTCTGGCAAATCTCATTTTAAGGCAGTCAAAATGTGCTCAAATTAAGATAAATTTTTACCAAATTTGAGCTATTTTTGAATTTTTTTTTTATCCCAATTTGTAGTGTAGGGCAGGTTTATTGCACATCTATACCAGCAGTTCCAAGTCGTTCAGTTGATAAAAGGTTTCCCTACACGCACGCACGCACACACACACACACGCACACACACACACGCACACACACACCTCCTATGGTCGAGCCTTAATTGGTTCTTTGCCCCAGTCACCCCTAATTGTGGTGTAGCTGTCAATAGGAGGTATGTCAAAGCCGTGGAGGCAGAGAAAGCCTGCACCTCAGCCTCTTTCAGGCCGAGCTCGACGTCTTCCTCTCTCATTTGTATGGCTGTTTCCACTTCACCGGGGCTTCTTCAGGGAGAGGCTTGACACAAGGAGTTACTCACAAACAAGCAAACAAGAAGGCCAAGAGCATATCCTGAAACGGCAGCTCTAGTTGAGAGCCCGAGGGATTTTTGATCTGCCAAATGTGAGCTATCTTGGACTTTAAGGCTTATCTGGTGAAATTGTATTTATTTGCTAGTTGCCCTTCCACTTGTGACTGTTTGTGCGTGAATGTCTCTGAACCAGTCTACGATCGAGATCATTTTATTTTCGAGATAACATAATTACACATAAACAACATATAGAACAGATATATGTGTTCTATATTTTTTGTGTTTGAACAGTTTGATTCTCTGATCTGTGTTGGTGAATTCAACAGTTTTGTTAAGTCCTCTGAGATCACTACTGTTGTTATTTAGGGCTTTACAAGAATACATTGAATTGAAGTGAATTGAATTGACTGCTCTGGAGGTTCTAGTGCTAATAAGAAAAAAGCAGCATGTGGGTCTATGATTTGATATGATATTTCTGTTGGGACAAACAACATGGAATATTTATCAAAAAAGTTACATGCCCCAGCTTTAAGTTCATTCTTTGAAACCTGACCAAATGTTTCTAACTAACTTCTTTCCATATTATTGAATTTGATGTTTTCCAATGTAGAACTGACAATCTTGAGCTCAGGGGACGCACAAACTACAACTTGCTCTGAAACATCTGCCCCTCTCTGTTGTTTTAGTGATGGATGGGCCGACCGCGATGAGGTGGTTGAGGGATTTGAGCAGGAGGCAGAGGGAGGCATCACCATAAAGCTCCAGTCAGAGGATGTGAAGACCTTCGACGACTACTACCTGAAGCTGAGGCTGGACACCAACACCAGAAACCCCTGGTTCGCCGAGTTCTGGCAGTACCGCTTCCAGTGCCGCCTGGCCGGTCACCCGCAGGAGAACAAGAACTACAAGAGACTCTGCGCCGGTCAGTCTGTGCTTCAACACACACACACACACACACTAGGTTAGCTTTAGCTGCAAAATGCTCACTTTCATGCCATTCTTTTCATTATTTTCTCTCTAATTGCTACCAAAAGGTGATCACGGAAATGCTCATCAATATGTGGAAAAAAACGATTCAAATTATAAATACAATACAGCACCAATTATGCAAATGTGTATTAAATAGCACATCATCCAATAGTTTGCGTTCATGTGATGTCACAACATTCCAAAGCCTATTGTTTAAAGTTACGGTGGAGGGCAGATGAAACGTCTGTTTGTTTTAAATTGGGTCCGTAATGAACTATAATTGAGTTGAATTGAAATTGTGTTGAAAAATTCCGTCTTTGCTGGTAACTATGGTAACTATCAAAATCAGACCTCATGGTTTAGTTTAAAGGTAACTTCTTTGTAATTCCTGGGTCAACCATTATTAAACACAAACTGACATATTCTTTGTCAGCAAATATCAACAATGGTCCAATCATTTCCTCATAAAATATTTCTAGAAGTGGTGACAATGCTCAACAAAACATACAGTATCTTTGGCCAGTAGAAAGGACTTTTAGACTTCAGAATTTAATTGCACATATTTTTAACTTTTTAACATGTTTGCACATTTCCTGTTTGCAATATTCCTGTCTTTTGCACAACCTGAATGATCCTGTTCATGCCAAATGTGACGTTTCTCCATTGTGAGATCAACAACGTTTATCTAAATCTGAATATTATGGCAGGTTTGTGAATCTAATCACAATCAAATCATATTTCTTTCAAAAATGCTTCTTTCACATGTAATTCTCGCATCATCTACCCTCCAACTGAGATAGTATTGCACAACATGAACGCAACCCAATGTGAAATCGTAATAAAACAGTTTGCAAATCTCCTTTTTATTCACAACTCAGTAAAGCAGGTGTTTAAACTGTGAAAGATCGCTTCTCTGACATATTTGTATGATATAAACTTCTGTAATGTGAGTCACTATAACCAGTTTTCATTTGTTTCACGGCCTTCTGTGAATAAAACGGCTTCATACCATTTGCATAGATTCAGAACAGTACGCTGCAAAAAATTATAAACTATGAGGTACTAATTTCTTAATTGATTGTTTAATCTTAATTTGAGTACATTCTGACTGTCTAAAAAAAAGATTAAGGTATCCAGCCAAACAAGAAGCTATTTAGTTTCATTTCAAGAACTTTATTTTCTCATTCCATGGGAGACATTTCTTGTATCTTTTAAAAAACATGATGATTTGGTTTTTTCCCATTGGCAAATCTTGTTTTAAGGCAGTCAAAATATGCTCCAATTGAGATACTTTTAACCATATTTGAGCGATTTTTAAATTATTTTTTCATCAAAATTTTTTCAGCAAAATACGGTAGAAATAAACAACTCAAACATACCTTTCTGTATTCTTAAATAATCTCTCACCTATTTACAAATGTCCTTTATTTCCAAAGACCTTCACGGTGGTAAGTGCCTTTTTCTAACAGCACTCACCTAATACACCTGCACTTGCAAGCCGGCTCCGTTGGTCCTCTCCGACTTTGACTAATGCCGCCCACAACTCTCCCTGCAATGTTTTTTGAACGCACTAATCTTCGCCAGAGCGAGAGGGAAAAGCATCAGTCAAAGCACGGGGATTATTTATTGTGTATGAGAGCTAAGAGCTGCTCACTTTGAGAGAGGAATGGCTCACCTGCACACAGAGTCCACAGATCACTCTTCCTCTTTTGTTATGTTTTGTTTGTGCATGCGTATGTAAGAAATACTCCCCTTTAATATACCCCCTATACCTCACTGCTATAGTGTCAGGGTGTGTGTTGGAACGCATGGCTGGGATGGCTGAGGTAATCTGAGAATTGTTGTATCTGATTAGTTTTGTCACAATTCAGAAATGTCAATGTGGATTGTGACAAATGGAAATTCGTGCCAATGTTTTTTTGTCACCACATTATTCCATGATAGAGTAACTTTGTATTATTTGATTATGTGGACGCAAGTGAGAAAGGTCCACTTTATTTTAGGGTTACACTGCAAAAAAATGATTAAACATATCATACAATTGCTTGAATCGAGTGATTTTAATCTTTTTTTGGGTACATTCTCATGGTCTTTAAACAAGATTTGCCAATGGGACAAAGATATTTAGTCTCATTTCAGGAGGAAGAAGATTACTCACTCAGCCAATCAGCTCTCAGCCCAAAGTGTCAAGTAATGACTCACAGGGCACCTATTGAAAGAATGTGAGTTTACAAAGGACAAAACGTATTGTAATAAAAGAAAGAAGCATGTTGCAGTGAGATTTTCTCACAGAATGCTATATTTACAAGACATGTAGTGTGTATGAGACATTTAGGTACCCTTACTTTAGTCATCACAGGAGAAATCCCATGATGTAATCTAATCATTTTTCAAAAACAGGGACACTCAGCTTCAATATGGAAAACAAATGACTTGTATATCATGTTATGGCTGATAAAATACAGAATTAAAGATGAATTTAGTGAAATGCACATTGTTTATAAATTGCAGTCGTCATGGTGCATTCTTGATCAATGGAACCAGTTAAAGAGTTTACCTGTATGTCTGACTGTCTGTTTCATTGATGTAGGATGTATACTGTATGTGTTAAATGTAAAACTCGTTCTGCTAATAAATAAAATAAATAAAATCAAAAAATCAAAATGCATAAAATGAATACAATTTAAAAGATATGTTAGTTGTTGTGATTGGCCATATAAGTAAACCTGTTGCAATAGCCACTTGGAATCAAACTATATTCAAGCCCAAGTATATTATAAATAGTTAATTTAATTCCTGCTCTTGTCCTTCTTTAGGTAACGAGAGTCTCCATGACAACTACGTCCAGGACAGTAAAATGGGTTTTGTGATCAATGCGATCTACGCCATGGCTCACGGTCTCCACGACATGCACCAGGAGCTGTGTTCGGGACAGAACGGCCTTTGTGAAGCCATGAACCCCATCGATGGGAGCAAGCTGCTGGACTACCTGCTCAAGACCTCCTTCAGGGGCGTGTCAGGAGAGGACATCTACTTTGACGAGAACGGAGACACGCCAGGAAGGTAAAGTGCCTTTCAACAGCAAATATTATGCATTATTTTTGCCATTAAAATGTTAGACTACATTGGAATTAAAAAGTTTGGCCTCCCCTTTGAATTTTAATCATTTGTCTTTATAAATCATTGGTGACTTTTACAAGACAAGAGTGTTGTGGTCTGATGTACAGTATTTAACATTTAAACCATAAATATGTAAAAATCTGGCCAAAGGTGGTACTGCAATAACGGGCAATATTCTCTAGTCCTCTCCCACCCTCCCTGACTCAGGTTGCCAGATATCCAGACGAATCCAGCTGGGACCATAATATCTGATTAGACAAGAGTTTTGTCAAAAACAAATTCATGGTCAGGCGCCTGAATCCATCCAGGGCCTGATCCACCCCTATGCCTCCAACAGAAGCCTAAGGTCCTCCACTCAGAACCTGTTGATGGTCCCCCGCACTCGCTTTAAAACCAGAGGAGACAGATCCTTCCAGGCAGTTGCTCCTCACCTTTGGAATGGGCTTCCTCAGTGTCTGCACATGTTAGAGACTGTCGATGACTTTAAGTCCCAACTTAAGACGCATTTGTTTAGACAGGCTTTCTCGCCTCACTGTTCATAGGCCTCTCTGAACTGTGTAAACTGTGTGTTTCTGTGTTTTTGTTTTTAAATCTGACTTGTATGTGTATTTTATGTATTTTAATGCGTATTTAGGGGCGGTAAAACCGATTTTGAAAATCAAAAATCTCGGCTGAACTACTTTTATTAGTTAAAGATGTATTCAAAAAGAGCATGTTTTATTAATGCCTTTTGACAGATTAGAGCCATTTAAGGATGACTTGACATGAAAATCTTACGTATTGCTACTTTAACATTCACAAAACTCTTTCCATCAAACAACATGGACTATTTATGAAAAAGTGAGGTACCCCAGCTTCATTATAGCATCTTTAATATAGACACAATTGACTAGAATATTTTTTTCCTTTCCAATAAGTATTACAAATAGTGACTTGGTGACTAATTATGAACAAAAATACTACAAAATAAACAAGGTTGAACCACATCAGGACCACAGCAAAGACAACCATTACTTCTGAAATTGATTTTCTTGACCTGCAATTTTCATCCAACTTGTCTCCCTTTAACTCTTATTATCTTTAATTAGTAAGAATTAAAAAGACTACAGGACCTTGCAGCGCATTCAGAAATTACACTGTCATCAGCAAAAGCAAACGTAATTGCTTGAGTGAAAGTAGCCTCTCGGTTTGTACCTTGCATATCTGAAAGCCCATCGTACACTGTCCTCATTAGCGCAGCTGCACACATGCACGAGGCAGACGAGTGCATGAAAGGATGTAATTTTTGTGGACTGGAACCGATCTGGTGGAATCGTCCGCTGTAGAGGCACGCACTTTTATCTCAGACAGATTCTGACAGGGCTAAAAACAGAGCCGTGTCATTGGTCCATCAGCCAGAGGTCAGCTGGTGGGCTACATCCTGCACTGGGGGGAGAATCCAGGTCACCGTACGAGGCTGGTGGTGTTAGCTTTAGCACCGAGGCACTGCTAATGAGATTGGATATGTAACGTTGTCGGCGAAGCTCAAGGATTGTTATCACTAAATTACCTGTCAGGCCTCCTCTATACTATCTCTTTATGGCTCCAATCAGGCTCTCTGCTGCTTTCTCTCTTTAGGGGTTATTTAATCTCTGACTGTGTTCTTTAGAATGTAGATAGTTATGGATTTTCTAGACCAGTGACTGGACCCCACTTTGGGAATCACTGGTCTAGAGACATTTCAGCAGGGCTCGCCAGTACAATAGCAATACACCGCAGAAAGTGATGAAAAATAAGTCAAAAATGGCTCAAATTTGGCAAACAGTTTGAGCACAAATGTCTCCCTTGGAATGAGAAAATAAAGAAACAGTTCATAAGACTAAATGACTTTGTTATATTGGCAAATGTTGTGTGAAGACAGTCAGAACAAACTCAAATTAAGATATAAAACAACCCCCCCAGCAATTAACACGTCATATTTTACTGCTTTTATTTTGCAGTGTAGAGACTTATATCAAGCCAACAATATTTAGTTTAATTACTCAACGAATAGCAAGTTCTTTTGTCTAATTAATGCACTACTGTTTTAACCTGGGATTTAACATTTTCCGATCCTTTAATGGACCTCCGTGCAAGTCTTATACAATTAAATGAATGCATATTTTGTGTTAACTTGAAATGTTTAATGCAATCAAAAAAATCTCAATCTTAATCTTTCAATTTGATTCAAACATTTGATTATATGTTTTTTCCTCAAAGGTATGACATCATGAATCTCCAGAACGTAGGCGATGGTCACTATGACTACCTGAAAGTGGGCTCGTGGCACGAAGGCGTCTTGAGTGTGGACGACTATAAGTTATGGATGAACAGCAGCGACATGGTCCGCTCCGTGTGCAGCGACCCCTGCTCCAAAGGACAGATCAAGGTACAGTGAATACTCTGAGTACAGTCTGTCTACATCTGTCTCAGAGATGCTCGATGGAGACTGAAGTGGCAGGCAAAAAATAAGTTACATTATTCCATTCTTTTATTTATTGTGTTTATTTTCGAACCTGCACAATACATATTTTTGCATATACAAATATAACAGAAAAATAACTTGTACCTGGTTTGAAAGGCTTATTTGATTCCAACCCCATATCACACATAAACTGATTTAACAATATCATGCAGTAGAATTCTCAAGCATACAACGGTACATTACAAACAGTAATACAACACTATCACCGATGGTATAAGGCATTTATCAACACTTATGGACACATGGATCTGTGTTGGCGAATTCTCCAAGATAACTATTGTTGTATTTAGGGCTATACAAGAATAAATTGTATTGAATCCTTGGAAACAAACTGGTGCCACCATCAATATATTCTTTATTGGCAATAAAAGCAGAGGAATTGAATCAATGAAAGATAAAACTGTGTATTCCACCACCAGAAAACTATTGCGAATGTGTTCTTGGAGTCAAGTCGATTTATAGTTTTAATAGCCATCTATGAAGCTGTCCCCGTTCCAAGGCTAGCTGACACCTGACACCATTAAATCATCTGAATTAGTGTGAACCATGTTAACGAGGAGCTTTCTGCTTTTTTGTCATGGAAAAGTTTGAAGACCCCTGATGTATTGTATCATTTAATAATATGCGTTTGTATTGAGTTTAACTTCCGAATTGCATTGCATTGAATTGCACTTTTGTCTTGTTTTTTTGTCTTCTGTTACACCTATTATGGTTATCACCCATATACTCATATTATATTAGATGATTATTACTTATTAAATGTTACTGTAATCAAGTATTACTATTATTATATTATTATTATCTTACTGTCCTGATCCACTTAAACTCCTCCCCCTCTATCCCATGCATTTCCACATGTCACATCAGGTCCCCTCTGTCTGCCTATATGTCAGTAATCACTGTGTGCGTATGTGTGTATTCATGTATGTATGTGTGTGTTTGTGTATGTCTATCTCTCTGTCTATCGCTGTCTGTTTGCCTGTATGTGTTTGTGTGTGTGTGTGTGTGTGTGCATGCGTATGTTTGTATTTATGTATGTGTGTGTGTGTGTGTGTGTCTATTTCTCCGTCTATCTTTGTCTGTTTGTTTGTGTGCGTGTGTGTGTCTGTCAATCTCTCTGTCTATCTATCTATCTGTGTGTCTGTCTGTATGTATGTACTGTATGTATGTATGTATTCATGTATTTATGTATCTATCTATATATGTAGGTGTGTCTGATGCATGCTTTTGTTTGCAAATAAAAGAAGAAAGAAAAAGAAGAAATCCTCTTGCTTTGGCGCGTCAGTATGGATGCCCCATTTTGTTGCTTTTGGGTCAGTGTTGCTGGTGTGTGACACAGCCTGTAGTCGCCCTGAAGGAGGATGCATCCTTCCCTCAGTCTCTTCACACTTCCTCTCCTCGCTCTTTGTTTTGTGCCCCACTTCACCCTGCTTTACATATCACAGAGATCCTTAAAAGTACGCCCAGGATCAGAATATAAAACAGATGGTCTTGTTTTGTCAGAACGTCTATTGGCAACGACAGTGTCTCGCTGTAGCAAAGTCTATTGATATTTTAAGATGAAAGGGCAGACACTTTTCATGAAGTAATGGTAATTTGTAATTGTTTTATCCGCTCCTCTGCAGGTCATACGCAAGGGCGAGGTGAGCTGCTGCTGGATCTGCACCACGTGTAAAGATAATGAAATTGTGCAAGATGAGTTCACCTGCAAGGCGTGTGAGCTGGGGTGGTGGCCTGACGACTATCTGGAAGGTAAGAGATGCAAAAAACTTACAACAATATACCACATATTTCAACTTACTTATCCAGCTGTTGCTCAGATTTGAGTTCAGATTTTTTGCAAGCAAATAATTATGATATTATAACCTCCGAATGACAATTAATAGAACACACTGCAAAAAGTGATAAAGTAAAATAAATGCTCAACATATTTATCCTAATTCGAGCACATTTTGTCTGCCCTTTACTTGTCCTATGTTTACCAATAGGACAAGTAAAATTATGTTGTTTTAAAAAGATACAAGAAATGTCTCCCTTGGAATGAGAAAGAAATGCAACAGTTCTTGGCTTTGTCTCATTGGCAAATCTTGTTTTAAGACTGTCAGAATTTACTCAAAATAGGATGAAAACCCCTCGATTCAAGCTATTATTCTTTGCAGTGCCATAGTGAGTGTGATTTAGTAAGATTTTAGCTCAGATGTAGGGTGGCTACTAACCATTCATTTGATTATAGATTGATCTTGTGTGTTTTTCAACTGTGTCCCTCTGGAAATCATCCATTATTCCCTCATTGGTAAAAATAAAATGTGAAGCGATTGTTTGATTTTCTATATAATATACTTTGATGAGAATGACTTTGTTAATAAAGGCTGCAGAGATTCATTTGTACATCAGTTTCATCTGGTGGTTACATGTGAATGTTGCAATTAAAAAGGTTGGGGAACACTGAGCTAGTGATTATACGATGAGTCAATTATTTGTATAGAATTATATTGCATCAAAATGATAATCTGAAGTGATGCCATAATGGCTTAGATTAAGGTTCTTTTAACACAACACACATCTTGCAAGTTTATTTGCATAGCACAGTTCATACACAAGACAGACATTTTGAGTAGAAGCCTGTCTCATATTTTCAGGAAGACTGTTAGAGGATTTTAGCTGCATAAATCTGAAACGCTGCCTCCACATGTTTAGTCCTGATTCTGGGCACCAGCAGGAGGCCAGTCCCTGTGCTCCTCAGAGTCCGAGTTGGTTCATATGGGACGAACATGTCACTTATGTACTTTGGTGCGAGGCCATGGAGAGACTTGTACGAAGCAGAGCTGTTTTAAAGTATATTCTCTGAGCCACAGGAAGCCAGTGCAGAGACCTGAGAACTGGACTAATGTGATCGGACTTCCTGGTTATAGTCAGAACTCAAGCGTAACGCAAACATGGCCACTTCAGCACTAGAACTGTACCACGTGCTAACATAGACAGTATAAAACAGCCCCGCTGGTTCCTTTTAAACAATATGCAAATATATTCACATCTCTATTTTCCATTCAATGCCGTGTGCTTTTGTCGTTGTGTGCGAATCACAGTTTGACGCTTCCATTCTCCCTCTCATGGTCCTCTTGCTTTGACCTTGCCCTCTTAGCATTCATAACCTCAGCTTTAGTCCGACCAAAGAACTCACTTCTTCCTTCTGCTTCATGCTGTGACCCATTGGTTGTTTTGACAGTGCTTTATGGAGTTGAGGAGCTTTGGGTTCCCAGGTGTAAAATCCTATTACCGCTCTGGAGACTCAGGGATGCAGTGCGGCAGTGTGTTGAAGGAGAAACTCAGCCCTCACTTTCATTACACGCAACTTTATGGAGATTGGTCTGTGTCTTAGGCACAGTTGGTTTATCACACACAGGAAATCTGTACAAATATAATTGAAATTTGTTTTCCACAGTGGTGATTTTGGTTCTTTCTTGGCCAAAGAGCTGCCATTTATAACAAAAACATTTAGATAGATTGATCGATAGATAGATAGATAGATATGTAGGAGAATTTAGTTCTAATATAAATCAACATTTTACTAAAATGTTGTTGTGCTTCCATGTATTTATAGTATTGATTCGGGATGCACTGATACCGATACTGGTATCAGGGGATATGTGGGACAACGGATTCAAATTAGCCCATGGCTACAATCCGGAGTGATGTAGCCATGGGCATGTACTGTCCCAGCCAAATAAACACCAAATAAATAAATAAATAAAAATTAGCATCACAAAAGCAGACAGTTGTGCGGCACTGTTGCCATAGCCCGATTGTAACACACCAAAGTACAAATTACATTTCGTACTAAGATCTGGAGGTGCTCCGTTGAGCTAACAAGGTGTACTCCTTTTGCAGATTGAAACGATTGGATCTGAGTTTACCGCGACATATGTAATGCGCCTGAGTGAGTCGTTAGCATGTCGCATTTTGCCTAGCCATGTCCTTTGCAGCAAACGGAGCCCGTGGGGAGTAGCGCCACAATCTTTGCCAGCAATTAAATTTGCTGAACATTCCTCTTGCTTTTTTCAGGTTATTCCTATGATTAAAAATAATTTAAAAAACTCTCTTTTTTATTAACTCTTGATTTGAGAACAAGTGCTGTAAGCAGGCAACACACATCTAACCTATGCACACACACTCACACACACCTGCAAACGCACCCACACACACACTCACACACACACACACACACACACACACGCTCATAATAGTGACAGAAAGGTGTCATGGGAGATTTATGAGCTCAGTGATGACACATGCAAATGAGTGGGATAAATTTAGAGCATGAATATTTCAACTGAGCGAAATTTACAGCAGGGTTTGTCATTTCGCGAGTTGTTGTTCTATTGATGAACACCTACAATTTAGTAACTTTTATCACTCTATACAAAAGGTCACTTACTTCCATTGTATTTTATTAAACAAAAAAGAAGCATTTTTTCTAAAATGTAACCCTGTAGTATCATTTTTATATGACATTTAATATAGTCATTCCTCATGGCATTAGCACTACCAGCGATATTTGCTAGAGGAGAATAGTTAGATCAAGGGCAGGGATTTTAATCATTTTATTTCGTCCAATCAGGAGGCTAAAATTGAAGAGAAGTCCACAAGTAATGTTCAAAAACTAAACTAAGAAGGGCAGGGCCTGGCTAGTACTGTGATGGGAGACCTCTGGGAACACCAGGTGCCACATTGGTGGCGGCTGCGGCTGTAAATTTCCAAACTGTTGCTGTGTCCTTAGGCAAGATACTTCAACTACATTGAACCTAGAATGAGTCTGCTGTGTGCCTGAATGGTTGGTAGTGGTCGGGGGTTGCCTTGCTTCTGTGCCCCAAGGCAGCTGTGGCTATAGGATTAGTTTCTCACCACTGTATATGAAGTGTATGTGTGTATGTGTGAAGCATCTTTGAGTGTCCTATAAAGCGCTAAATAAAACCGATGCATTATTATAAATACTAAAAATCTTCTTTACCCCGCACAGGTTGCCAGCCCCTTCCTCTAAAATACCTGGACTGGGCCGACGTTGAGTCCATCATTGCCGTGGTCTTCTCGTGTGTGGGAATCCTGATCACCTCCTTCGTCACCTTCGTCTTCATCCAGTACCGGGACACCCCTGTTGTCAAGTCCTCCAGCCGGGAGCTCTGTTACATCATTCTGGCCGGAATCTTCCTCGGCTACATCTGCCCCTTCACCCTCATCGCCCACCCCACCGTTGCTTCCTGTTACCTCCAGCGTCTCCTGGTGGGCCTCTCTTCCTCTATGTGCTACTCGGCCTTGGTGACTAAAACCAATCGGATCGCTCGCATTTTGGCCGGCAGCAAGAAGAAAATTTGCACCAGAAAGCCACGTTTTATGAGCGCCTGGGCCCAAGTCATTATAGCGTTCATGTTGATAAGTGTCCAGCTCACACTCGAAATCACACTTATTATCTTGGAGCCACCCGAACCTGTCAAGTCCTACCCAAGCATCCGCGAGGTCTACCTTATATGTAATACCAGCAATGTGGGCATGGTCGCGCCGCTGGGGTACAACGGCCTGCTAATCATGAGCTGTACCTATTACGCCTTCAAGACACGCAATGTCCCCGCCAATTTCAACGAAGCCAAATACATAGCTTTTACAATGTACACTACATGCATCATCTGGTTGGCTTTCGTCCCCATTTATTTTGGCTCGAATTACAAGATCATAACCACATCCTTCTCAGTCAGTCTCAGTGTCACAGTTGCCCTGGGATGCATGTTCACGCCCAAAATGTACATTATAATTGCCAAACCGGAGAGGAATGTCCGCAGCGCCTTCACCACGTCGGATGTGGTGAGGATGCATGTTGGAGATGGGAAGTCGGCACAGTGTGGAAGCAACAGCTTTCTCAACATGTTCAGGAGGAAGAAGGCCGTGACTGGGAATGCCAAGTGAGTGATCCACTGTGTTGTTTATTTCTGTGTGTGAGTGTGACATGTCGCCTGCAGTTACTGACAAGTTACGAACACTGGTTTATGTGTAAATACAAAGACACAGAGAGAGAGAAAGAGCTGCTTCTAAAATACAAGGTGGATTTTCCGGTTCAGATTTGTTATATGTTTGCCATTCGCAGTAAAACCACATTGGAATATATTTGCAAAAGTCCCCAATGTGCACCAGATGAGTACATGAATAAAACAGGGTAAAAAGTACAGGAACACAACAAACTAAAAGTACAGGAATAGAAAAAAGCTAAATAAAAAGTCCAGGAAAGAATTGTCACTGTCAATCAACAAAAACCGTTTCAATAAAAGTGCAAGATCCTTAAAGTGCTTTAATTTTGATTAGAAGCCTAAATTATGTACTGTAGAATTGGATGCATGACACATATTGAGGTGAATTTAAATTGGAAAAAAAATATCTACAACAGCCAAGAGTGCAGATGTAAATAAAATGATAAGGCGAAAATTTTTCTCCATCCTAAAAGTGGAGTCCAACTGAAGAGGCTCTGCTAATATGGTTTGAATAGAAGATTTAAGACGTTTAATATTCTCTTGAGATTCACAGCCATGTTACCTGGAGGTTTGCTCAAGTAAGGAGTGGGGCAGACTTTGAGAGCATTCCCAAATATTTTTTCTGTGTTGTCTCACTATTTCCATACAGCCTTCCTAATCTCTCTAACCCTTTCAGTGTTTCAATAAAGCATCATATTGTCAAGGCTGGCTAATGTTTAGGCCTAAGGCTAATTCATCTCATTTTCCTGGAGAGCTGCGGTGCCAACCCACTTTCATGGAGATATTTGTCAGCTGTTGTGCTGATAGAACTGCAGACACTCACGAGACAAGGCATAGAAACTGTTTAGTTACATTCAAATACGTCTTTTGAAGCTGTTTTACACAGGTTGCTCTATGTTCTTGGCCGTAGTGTTGACCTTGTGAAGACTATGGCCAAGAACACAAGGTGAAAACTGGATCATATACTGACCCACTTTACCTTTATATTAGACATTCTTCTGGACCAACTGTTGTGATTCACTCATATATATCTGGGGTGTCAAACTGGTTCCAGGAAAAAGGGGGCTGCAGGTTTTTATTCCAACCAAGCAGGAGCACATCACACACAAAGCATTCCTTAGGCACCTTTCTTGACACTCAAGGTTGCCTAAGGTACAAGTAATAAGTGCAAAAAAAGGTCTCCTGGTTAAGACTTGGTAATAGGACTCACTTGAGGCCTTTACTGGAGTCTGGTGTGCTCCTGCTTGGTTGGAATGAAAACCCGCAGCCACCATCTCTTTTAAGGACCCGTTTATGGTCTGTAGAGTTGATGGTACATGGCACTTGACACCGTAGTTCTCCAACAGGCTGTTTATCCTGAATTAACCTTCTATTAACTTCCCCTGGCATGACTACTACTTCTCCCACCCCGACTTAATCACATTAGAGCCAGTCCTTGCTCCCTCCGTGTAAAAGGTCTCATTTTCTGTTGAAGAGATTAATACTTGGGTGTATCTAATCCCAAAAAAAGTCCCAACTGGCTCAATGTTGGCTCGACATCTGAGGCAACTTGAAGATCATAATGCAGTCACATTATGTATCATTTGTACAACTGGTCAATGAGGAAGGGGTTTTCTGTTTGCAGGATGACAAGGGAGGCTGTGACAAAGGCTTTCTCTGACTGGGCATTAACTGTTGAATAAAAGAACGCTGATTCTATGAAAATATGGTCACACTTAAGCCAAAATATTGCTGCTAATAATGTCAGTGATTTATTTGATATTTATGCACAAAATCAATGTACTCCATTTAAGAGAGGAGTATTTGTTTCTCTTGCCTTAACAGTCATTATGCTGAGAGGAAGTAGTATTTGAATACAATTGGCTTGCTTACAAGAAGCTAACTTTGAAATAACAACTTGTGCAATCACGTTTAGCATTTCAATGTCACGGCGTTGGTTCGAAAGAAAATAGGAAATGATTCAGGAAAAAAAACAAACAAACATACATATTTTTCTCTGTAACAGAATGTGGCTTAATCTCCTTGTTTGAACACATCATTTAGAATTATTTTTGGTCTGTCTATTTTTATGACATTTTTACATTAAACCTGCACGCATGCAAAACAAATACCAGCGATTGCAGCACTTTGTCAGAGTCTCCCCACCATCCTCCAACATAAATAATGGACCCTCTAACCCATTGATGTCACACAGTATCAACATGCAGAGGTGTGAAGCACTCTTCGTCTGTTCGGCTCTGTTGTCTTGCTTTCGTGTAGTTTGTGGATGTTGTCATGTCCCACCTGCTGGTTTCCTGACAGTAACTTTGGGTCTCTGTCTCTGTATTCATAGTTCTAATGGCAAGTCTGTGTCATGGTCTGAATCAGGTCCAAGACACCCTCCGAAGGGAGGGAGTGTGTGGCACAGACTGTCTGTGCATGTGAGGAAACAGGAAGCCGGCCTGAATCAGACGGCGGTCATCAGGCCCCTAACTAACACCCCCGACCCCCACAGCTGTGACCCCCGCACGGCCGTCCTTGGCACAGACACCCCCGACCCACCTGGAGGAGGAGCGCAAAAGCCACCCTTGCACAATGTGGCCGAAGACAACGCAGAGGAAAGCTCTCAGCAGCCATTTTGGACTCCAACTTGCTCTGGACAAAGGCAAGATTTGGGATGTCCTACTACTTCAGCAGGTTTAGTGGACACACATAGTTCCCATGTCCCACCACTAAACAAGCACCACGCTATTGAATCACAGTCTACCAATGAGCCTTTGAGCTTGACCCCCTCCCGGCTTGCTGTAGATGGCACTGCAGAGAAAAACCTATTGCACAGCCACGTTCACAAGGGACAACAGGAGGAGGTGGAGGAGGAGGAGGAGGAGGCAGGGGAGGAAGATGTCTTACTCCAGCACAAAGCATGTATGGTGGAGCTGACTCTGTCTCCCCCGTCCCCGTTCAGAGACTCTATTTGTTCAGGGGAGTCAGACAGCGGTAGCCCTCCCAGCTCCATCTACACGGCCGACATACTAAGAGACTTTGCACATAGCTCCTCTACACTGTGAGAGCAAAGAATCCGTGAACACTTATGTATTTCATTTGATCAGCTTTGGCTTGTATTTTTGCTTTTAACAGTAATGAAATATGAGTAAGAATTATCTGTTTTTTCCCAAGGGCTGATGGTATTCCGAGCCTTTTTGTACAAAGCTTCATGATTATAGTGCCAAAAGGTTTTTTTTGTTTTTTTTTTTAAAGAAGGGAATTATGGACCGGGATGTAGCGGTTGCTTTACGCTGAGCCAATCAGAAAGCTGGACTGAACTGTGCGTGCACTGCAAAACACCGGCTAACCATGTTTCATGCCGTGTTTGTGAGGGTATCGTGATCAGTGCTTGAAACGCAGTGGAGTTTCCTTCTGCCTTTTTATCGTTTCAACTCAGTTATATTATTACGATTAAACCGAAGAGACGCAAACCAAATGAGGATGGTGCAGTGTGTATGATATGACTAGAAACAGGACAAATATTGACAAAATAATGTAACACAGAGAGAGAAAGAGAGAGAGAGAGATGGAAAATTTGAAATAATGGGATAATAAATAGTCACAGTTATATGATAAAAGTCCAAGAATTTTACAACTGATCTATTGGCCACGAATCTATCTATTATTAGCGTTGACTGTCTTATTTTTGCCTATTGCAATGATCAAACTGTTATATTTTACACAATGCACCAGCTAGCTTTGTTTGTTTGTACATTGATTTAAGGTGCCGTAAGCTTTTTTTGCATTTTGTTTTTATACTTTTATCTGGTACATACATGAAAATCTACGGACAAAATGTGCGCTGTATTGAGGTATTCATGATGTGCCAATCAGAGTTGTTATTTATAAGCTTTATCCTGCTACCATTTTTATAATGTAGCCGAGTATAAGATAGCGTCGTATTTAAAGCGGACAAGCTCTTGGACTCGACAAAGGATCAACTTAAGACGTCCCTGCCATGTTTATATTTCTCATGTTGAGTCATTGTAATGAAAAACACAGTACTTTGTGTACGAGTTTGTATAAGCCATCTATTGTTTTTCACACGGGTGGTATGTTTCTAATACTGATACATGTTTATATATTTAGAATGGCAAAATTTATACTTCTGTCCTCTGATTGTTGTTGAGAAGCCGTGTGTTTGGTTTTTTGGATATGATTTTTACACTATTATGACTGTAAGCTTTGGACCAGATCCAGCTGTTGACATGATGAGTTGCTTCTTGTATAGATTTTCTTTGCAATATGAGCCTAAGTATTTTACTTGAAGTTAAGTTTTTTTTAGTTCCTTCATGATAAGAATGATTTCAGAGTAAGAGAATATGCAGTACTAGCCATTGTATTGTATTTTCTAATGTTTAAGTCTCTTATAGCGTAAGTTGGTTTGTTATTTCTATTAAGTGAAGTGTACAAGGGTGCCACCAGTTAAACACTGTCAAGAACTATTAATGAACTTGACCTTTATGTTATGGGCGAGTTGACCAATGTAAAAATAAAACTATTTATATTACGAGTTGTGATTGCCTGCTATAGCAAAGACATCCACATCATAATATACAAATAAGTCATCAGCCTGACCGTTATTTGGAATTGCTAAATTTAATTTATTTATATGTATTTTTTTATCTAAAACAACAACAGCAGTCGTCTGGGAGGATATTGTCGATTCCTCAACAACAGATCAGAGAGTCAAACAGTTCGAACACAAGAAATGCAAAAATACCACATAGGAGCCATTGGTCCAAAGGGGGTGGGATGATCAGTGTCCATAAATGTTTACAAATGTACTGTACGTACTGTAAATTTCCTCAAATGTCCCAAATCATCACTGTCCGTAGACCTTCCTGCATGAGCTCTTGATTCCAGAGCACTTTCTATACTTTCCTGGCTTCACACAAAGTTTCCATACATATTTGTCTCTTAGTTATTTCTATCATTGATTTTAGTCATTTATATCTTTCACGGTTTCAGAGCTCCATCTGTGGTCTCTTTCACATCACATTTCTAACCATTTTCAACGGTATAGTAATGGCACAGAGAACAAGGCCTTGCTCAGTTATACTGGCTTTTCATTATTATAGTTCCCTATTCAACAAAAGCAACAAACTTTAATCAAATACCAAAATATTATGTTAACAAGCAGGGGAGAGGATGCATCTCACCTGAGCTCATTTTCTTTGCTTTCACTTATTCTTTATATAATCATAACCAACTGAAAAACAGCCCGAAAGTAGAAGTATAAAAGGTGTATAAATGATTTTTTTTTTTTACTTTATTCTAAATTCCCTGTAGTTGACATGTGTTAAAAGGAAACAAACATTTAAGTAACAATAAGTTCCAATTGCATGAAGTATTGCGCAGTATATGCTAGAGGTGTGAACTGGATCAAAAACTTGCAACTCGACTTGGACTTTAGCATCAATAACTCTGACTTTCACTTGGTCTTGAGCCTATTGACTTGTAAAAACATGCTACTTCCCATAAAAAATCCAAAGATAAAAAGTATGTTGACACGGACTGCTCTATCTCTGTTTACGTGTGCATGCCCGTGCATGTGTGACAGAGAGCCAACCATGGAACAAGCTTTTAGTCGGACAGAGAACGTGAAAGCACCAGCAAAATGATTCCTAAGATTATTTTCTTTGCCTACAAAAATCACTTAAAGGACTCAAAAGTCAAACCGTAGGACCTGGAACTTGACTTGGACTTGTTGGCATTTGACTTGGGACTCAACTCGGGACTTGACTTGGGACTTGAGGGCAATGAATTGAGACTAACTTTGTCCCATCGCTGGTATAGTAGCCCCTTACCACTAAATTACTGCAATTAAGATAATTAAACATCATTCCAAGGGCCTCTACCGTTGAGCCTGGTTATGGCTTATATGATATCTCCATTCATCTACAGTTATCATATCCACTTAAAAAATAGGTTACATAAGGAGAATATGTGTGACCTATTAGCACAGATAATATCAAAGATTATTTTCACTTTAGTCAGCTCCTCCCTTCAGCAAGATCATACAGTGTAAAAAAAAGATATAAACATACAGTATTCCACATCTTTCTCCATCTTCTGTCCCTCCCCCTAACTCTTAAAGCTGGGGTACCTAACTTTCTTGATTCAGAAATTATACAAGCTGTTTTTTCCCCAAATTTAATCAGACCACATGCTGTCTCTAATTGATTGGAACACATGTTATAAGTTGCATACTTAAAAAAGAGCCCTGTAAGTCAATATTTCACGCTTTGGGCTGAGATCTGAATGGGTGAGTGAGGGTGGTATTATAATAGATCCATGGAGTGGACTCTCAGAATTCTGGAACTACTGGATCTCCCAGAGCAGTAATTCTAACGGCTCTCATTCAAGTCATAGGAAATTCAGAAAAAATCCCCCCAAAATGTTTAGTTTTATAGTGTTTCCACTTTATTACAAGACAAGTAATTGATACGGTGTTTATGCTGAATTATAACTGGAATGCTAGCTGCTGTCATGTAAAAAGTGTGTTACTGTGAAAAATTATCCAGGATCAGTTCAGAACCACCGCCTTGAGACAAGTTTCATAGAATGTTGGTGATAAAATGGTCACTTGGCATCACTTGGTCACTTTACAGCAGTCAAAATAACTGCCCCGGGAGTTAAAGGTCAAATTCCTCACGTCACAAAGTTAGGAAGACCAAAAATGTACAGAAGCCAAGTAATTACACTTCCTAAACGAAAAGCCGTCAATTTTACTGCTCTGGGTTTTCTGTTGTTAAGTGGTTCCTCCTGCCCGTCTGCGTTTATATAACATTTTCAGGGAAACATATTGAAACAAGATATGAGTCTTTGACATGAATCCACCCTCTATACTTTTTCCCAACCTCAAAGTCCTGCGCGAAAAAGCTTTTATTCTTGCAGAGCGCGTGCGTAAAGTTTCCCTGTGCGTCTTTTCCCTCATATTTCCGGGTCTTATGACATATCAGGTGGTTTTTAGAGGCGGAATGAGGAGGAGGAGGAGGAGGAGGAGGAGGAGGAGGAAAGTAAAGAGGGCAGACACCACACCGATGCAACTTGTAGCATGTCCTGCAGAGTTGGGTATGACCAGTCCACTGCTCCAGACAGACGCACTGGTCACGCACAGAGGCACGCACAGAGGGACGCACTGAGGGACGCATTGAGGGACCACCGTCACCCAGGAGAAAACTTATGTTAACAGCGGCAAGAAGAAAGCGTGTGTCGTGAAATAAGTGTGCCAGCGTTGTGAAATAATAAGTGTGGAAGAGGAGCAGCATGGCCGGGGGCTCTGTTTCCGAGTGTAAGGAGTACTTGTTTAAAGTGCTTGTCATCGGGGAGTTAGGCGTGGGCAAAACCAGCATCATTAAGCGCTACGTGCACCAGCTCTTCTCTCAGCACTACAGAGCCACTATTGGAGTTGACTTTGCGCTCAAAGTCATAAACTGGGACAGCAAGACCCTTGTGAGGTTACAACTCTGGGATATAGCAGGTAAGTTCATTGTGTGTGGTTAAAATACATGGTTGGGATGAGGGGACAAGAATACAGCCCATCTCTAGGTTTTTTTTGTTTACAGCACGGATGCCTAAAGAAACAAAATCAACAATGAGCTGTAGAACTCTCCCTTTGCACAGAGAACCAGTTCATCACGTCTGTTTCCACCAAATGACCAGGCTGCTCATAATTGCCAATGGAATGTAGGTCACGTTGTTATAGCTGACTAAGACACGCCCACAACATTGGAAATGCCACTATTATTCTCACAATTTCACACAAGATTCAAGATTCTATGCTACTGTTTTGGATTCAAGATTATGTTTGTCAGGTCTGTGTATGAGAAAAAACACAAGACATAGGATATTTAAATGAACGTAGTGAGAGTAGTGAAGGTAATCCCGGTATTTTGTATTTTATAATAAAACAAAAATGAAGTCATCCATTCAAGTCACGAGTCTATCCCTAGCACAAAGTGAGTCAATGATTTCCTAAGTAGTATTTCTCAGAGACAAGCCTTAAGGGGGAAAAAAAGCAAGTGGTTAGCGTAATAGTGCTTTTATCTGTAGATCTGTCTCGTAATAACAGTATTATGATTACAGTAAATGCATGTTGATTGTAAAACAGCTCTTTTACAATATTCTTGTTTGTCTAAATGAGTCAAAATGTGTCACTTGCTTCTATATTTTTTAAAAAGAACTGCCTTCCTGACATTTCTCCACTTTGTGACTTGTTTTGCACACTGCTCACAGTTCAGGCAAAATCATATTCAGGAGCATGTGATCCGAGGCATTGGCTGTAAACCTCTCACACCAGCCTGTGCATTCCTCCAGCTTGAGTAACTGCACGAACATCAGAACAAAGTCAATACATGCGACAGACACAGTCCTCCTGAACTTATTTTTCAACTTCACAGGGCAATAAGGCACACAATGGTATCTACAATCATCTACAATTTTCTCCCATTCCACATCAACATTAAATTTTCTACTTGTCTGTGTCCAGTTCTAAACAGTCATGCTTGCTAGTGTTTTTCTCCGGGTTGAAAGTTTTGTCAAGCAGTTAAAAAACAAGAATTGGTTTCATTTTTACACACTATTGTCTGTTCTGGCCCATGACGCTTCGCCAAGTCAACTTACAATGTGAAACTCGTACAGTCTCATTGCATCCAACGTGTGCTATATCTAGCCTTTATATAAGTTTTGTTTGTTGATTTTTATGGCTCACAGCTTGTAAAAAAAAAACCCAAATACTTGTTTTTTGTGGACTGCAAGCCATAATCATCAAAAATATAACAAAGGCTTGACATATTTCACTTAGCATGTAATGAGTCTATATCAAAGTGGGCTCATATTTTAAGTTGAATTACTTAGAATAATTCACTTTTTAACAACATTTGAATTATCCAAGTTTCACCTGTGTGTATAAATATCAAATAAAACAGTAACAATACAAATCTAAATACTTACTGAGATTATAATTTATAATCTGATTATAATCAGAGACACACTTCCCAATGGCCCCCCACCTAACATCACAAACTCAGCAAGTACATAGCCGGTACAAGAGCAAACAAACAGTGACTGTGAATATAGCATACAATAGATAATATATTCTGAAGGCAAGAGGTACGGTTTGATCTACATATCTACAATGTTTCTCCCTGTCCATTATCAGTAGCTATAAATCCATCGATCAACTTTTATTTGTATAGCACCTTTCCTACACAAGGCTACAAAAAACGTCTCACGACCCCTATCACATCAGGCATAAATCATAAACATTAAAATCTACAGTACATAAAAGTGAAAAAATATGATTAAAAATACAATTAAAAACAAAAATCAAGATCACAAGAAATTCACAATTAATTAAAAAGCATAAGACATTCAAATCACACATGGGATTAAAACATAAATAGCCTTAGTGCATTAAAAATAGTAAAGATAAAAATCCTTCAGTTGTAGAGATAAACTGACAAAAAGCAGCTAGCTGTGGCGTCAGTAGCGTTGTAATAGCAGTTAATTATGGAAACGACTTTTCTGAGTGCTTGAATGTGCATTGGATTGCTTGCATGCCCGATCACGGCTCCGTTTTTTAGTGTTTTCTCGTTGTCTGTTCGTGTTTGTGACTGGGAAGAATGCATTCGCCTTTCTCAAACAAACATCATATGCCGAGAGAGATCCGAGCAGATGTTTGGGGCAGCGCTGCTTTTATCCTGCGCCTGAAGCACTTGTGTGAGGAGTGTGGCTTATTGATGTGTCAGGCTGAGAGGGCCCGGCGTGACACATGTCTGATGGGTCCAGCGCAGGGCCAGGGTTCTTCTTTTTCTACAACTTTTAGGTCTTGACAGCGCTGGCTTGGCTTTGCACGATGCATCTGCCACCAGGATGCCACAGCGGCTGTCGACGTGTCCTTGCCAAACAGTCCCTCATCAGATGGTACCGGGGTAAACTGGCACCACGCTGCAATCCAGCACAGCCGTGGACATGCTTCAATCCAGCAGCACGTTATGACCACGCCTGTTGATTATTGAACCGTCTCAAATAGCCATTCACTGTAATCGCCTCAACAATATTCCAGCCATTCATAAAAAAAGCCTATAAAAGGTTTTAGGCATAATTATACATTTTGGACAATACTTGAATCTCACCCAGTGTATTACACAGGAATGTTTTAGCAGCATTTAGTAGCATTTGCTAAATGATAAAATGATTTGGTCAATGATGGCTTCCTCTGGACCTCTCTTTAGGTCTGCAAAATTAGAATATTGAAATGTAATTTTATGTTATTTTCCATTGTAATTACAATTTGATTAGCATTTATTTTAGGAAGCTATTTGGTAAATAGTGTAAAAAGTGCCTTTTCAAATAAGTTTCAAATTTCTTTATTTTCAAAACTAAGTTCTCTCACTGCTAGATAAGACTGGACTTTTCTATTAGCCCATAAAACATTCCAAATGCAATCAAAGTGATAGAAATATTTGCGGTGAAACTTTGTTGCCGTTTTTGGGCTTTCGCTTTTTTGGACTGAACCAGAGATGTTTACGCATGTGTACGTACATACATTATACAGCAATAACATGTCTGAAAAGAAATGGAAGCAACCAAAACAGTGCTCTGCCATCAACTGCAGCCACTACCAAAGTATAACTAATAAACCAGCATTGCATAGATTCCTCAAAGATCCAGAGAGGTGGGGTGGCATAAAAGTAGCTTTTTTTTATATATATATGTAGAACGTTCACTACTTTGTTCTTCTCTTCCTGGTTGTGGTTTTGTGAAGCGTTAATATCTGGTTCCGTATTCTAGCAACCTACCCACAACAAACCAGTGTCTGGGGGAATTCCTTAATAACTACTGCCAACAGCACTCAGGCCAATTGTTGTCTGTTAGAACATTATAGTGCCAGCGAGTGTGCAAGTAAGAGCCAGGACCAAGCAGGTACTGGTGTCGGTAGTAACGGGTAGGACAGTCCTATTTGGATGGAAGATATATCATGTGTTTGAGCAAAAGTTTGTATGATATTCTGGGATAATATCAGCCAATAAATAGTTACCTCAACTGAAAGGCCTAACACATATAGATACACCAGCAACCGATCCAGCAATATTTCCTGTATCTTCACCAATATCCGATACCAATATTGATACCTGTGTTGATACCAGTATTGATACCAGAGTTATACCAGTGTTGTTAGTGTCGTATTGGTTCATCCCTAGTTATTATCGTGACTCACCTAAAGCCTCATTTAGACGGAGATGCTGCAAAGCAATGAGCAAAAACGACCAGGCTCCTGCGCAGCATTTAGATGACGGAAAATAATGTAGTTCTAGCGCCCGACCAGTTGTGGGCAGTGGAACTTTACGGCATGACACACTCGACCCCAAACAGTATAGTAAGTAAGTAAGTAAGTAATCTTTATTTATATACCGCCTTTCACAGACCAGAGTCACAAAGCGGTTTACAATTTGTTATTTTTTAGGCATTTGTCTCTCACTCCACACAGAGATGAGAGCAGGGTCGCCGAACAGGAGGCGCATGCCAGACCTATTGTACATGTTTTTAGTGGTAGGGGACACCAGAGTACCCGGAGGAAACCTACGCAGACACGGGGAGAACATGCAAACTCCACTCAGAAAGGCCCTGTTCCGACTAGGATTCGAACCCAGGACCTTCTTGCTGAGAGGCGAGAGTGCTATCCACTCAGCCACTGTGCCGTGGCGCATATTCCAAATACGTATATTCACTTCCTTAACAACATCCTCCTCAGGCCACCGCAAAGACGCAAAAGAATGCACCAACATAATTCTGCATTTAACAGCAACAGCGAAAATGAAACAGAGGAGTAGAATTCTCCTCTGTGTAGCGCTCGAAGCACACATAGCTAGTTAGTGTACCTGCCGCCATTGTTGTTTACATTTGTTCTCAGCTGAGAACTTTTGTTCTCAGTTGCTGAGAACAAATGTACGTGCGGAGAAGTGGAGGTCAGAGCAGGCAGAGAATTCATACCTTTTTCTTCACACAGCTGTGAAACAACCCCCGCTGAGCAGCGTATCTGTTCTGTTCCACTCTGGAATCTGTTTCTCAAGGATTGCTTTTTCACCCCCCTGAAACACCGTCTCCATGTAAAAAGGAGGCCAAACCTATACCCAACACTACCGTTTTACTGTAACAGCATCTCTGTCTAAATGGGGCCTGAGTAAGAGTGCATGTTTTTTGAGTAAGTGAGGGATGGAACAATGAAAAATCCCAAAACAATCTTATCACATTGGAAAGTTAAAGGAACCTGTATCAGAAAATTCACATGGCAAATAAGGCTCCTTATTTAGTATTAGGATCATTATGTCATATCACTTTTAGCACATTGATGAATTAATACAAGCCTTCATGAAGATTGTTATTATTCATAGTCTCGGACCATCTCAGTGGCTAAGCCCAGGGACATTCTCCGCCTAAAATAACTGAGAGGACGGTGATGTGAATGACAGCTGGAGG